AAGTAGAACCCTAGAATTTAATTCACTGTAAGACGTCTTAAAATAATAAACCAAACGGCCACTGCAACGTTGCTTTCCCTGTACTTGACTTTTGCAGAGCAACAAACTCTCTGTCAAGTACCCATTTAAGCTCCTTTTCTTCTTCTTCTAAGCTTGACCTCGCTTCCATTGAAGAGACAATCCAAAGCTTATTTGAAGGTCTGAATTGGGTTGAATTAACCAAGTGGCTACATTTTATCTTTCACCCATGGAGTCAAACCCAGGGACGACGGAGACCAGATCTATTTTAACGGCGTCGGATGGGGGCCAAGTTACGGCATTCGAATCCCTCCAATTCTCCGACGCAATCCACCGTTTGATTTTGGCTCCGACGACTAGTAACGCCAGTTCCTTCAAGGCTCTGCTTGAACTACCGCCTCCACATGCCGTTGAGCTTCTTCACTCTCCCGACTCCACGAAGCTTATCTCTGCTTCGCCTCCGAACGTTAAAGATTTCAAAGGAAGCTTCCGTTTTCCTTCTAATACTAGTTTGATTGAACCAGATGCGAGGTTTTCCGTGTTTTCTGGAGAAGCTGACAGCAGCAATGAGAAGAGGGACTCGCCTGAGTCGAAAAAATTAAACTCGAAGCTTGAGAAGGCCGTAAAGAGAGAGCTGGAGGAGAACGAGTCATCCCAGCCGTTGGTTTCCGAGCCACCGGTAGAGAAGCGGAATATGAAGAGAAATGACAGAGAAAATAAGGTGGAAAAACCAAAAACAAAAGAAAGTTTCAATCGAGGGTTCCCTTTTTTGGTAAAATTTCGATTAATTTGTTTTCTGAGCTTTCATAGGTTAGAGGGTCTACGAAGAAAAGCAAAACTGCTGTGAATGAGAGCTCGGAGGACGCCTACGTCCACGTTAGAGCACGCCGTGGACAAGCAACGGTTAGCCATAGCTTAGCAGAGAGGGTAATTCACCAATATCCGTGATTGACTAAATGATTTTTTCTTATTTATTAATCAATTAATTCAATTCGAATATCATAAAAACTTTTATTATGGGATGACCTCTTAATTTAAAGTTTTTCATTTATAATTTTAAAATTCGAACTTTGATATATATTATATTCATAATGTTAAAATTTGAATAATGACATATTTTATTAATCTAATAATCTTGGCGTTTAATACAGGCAAGAAGAGAGAAGATTAATGCACGAATGAAATTCCTACAGGAGCTGGTACCTGGATGTAATAAGGTAAGTTTTATTGGTTGATTAATGATTTGATTATGATTTGTGATTATATTAAGAATATCTCCCTTAACGGGACATAGAAAGTGGGATTACATCTTTACATCATTTTTCTTTAGTTAACGGTTTGTCAGTGTCACCTTTTGCACCAAAAAAAAAATTCTCTTTTTTATATCCCAAGTTGATTTAACGTTTTAGCTGTTTTCCCATTATGGATGGTTTGTTAGAAGTCCCTTTTTAGGTCAAGTTTGTCTTTTCAAACGCAATTTTATTTCTGTTTTGGTGAAAGCTAGATTTTGAATTGATGTCTGCGCTTTGCATTATCTATGGAATGTACATGGTTGTAGATAGGGGCTATTATGAAGCAAGTCTATCGCTAGTTAAATAATATTTGATTCGAGATCATTAAACAATTTTGTTATTCAGTTTGATTTATTCGTTAAGTTTATTAAAATTTTATTTTATTCGTGCTCGTTAAAATAACTTTTTGCTTGACTCGTTGCTTATTAAGCTCAATACTTGTTTCTTGTTAAGTCCACCGAAATTTTTACCTTATTTTCTTAACTATAGGTGAAATTTACTAATACTATATGAAACTTAATATAAACATAAATTAATAAATTTAACAAAAAAATTATCAAAAAAATGTATGAAACAATTTGAAAGTATAAATTCCAAAGTAACAATCCATAAATATATTAGAATAATAAATAGTGTTTGATTTTTGGATGTAATAAAATATTAATTAATAATTTAATATGTTTATTGTTTATTAGAAAATTAATAAATTAATAAATTAACAATTTATCATTTTTTATTATTTATTAGTAAATTAATAATTTTTTTAGGATAACTACTAAAAAATTATAAAAAAATTAACGAGCTGTTTTTGAACTTACTGAGTTGAGTTAGACTTTTTTCGGTTCAACTCGTTAAGGTCTTGAGTCGAGCTCGAATTCAAATTGAGTTTTTACTAAATCGAGTTCGAATTGCTCACGAACTGTTGAACTCATTAAATACCTAGTAAAATAGAAAATCACAAGTGTAGCCTTTGATGACTGTGGAAGAAAATTTTAGTCGTGGGAATGGTAGCTGGACATTACCAAGTAGACTTGTCTAAAGGCTTGTTGGATTAAATGTCATTATGGGGTCCCATTTCATTGATGTAGAGTAGCTGCTAACTTCTCGTACAAGTTATCAATCCACTATGGGATAAGTAGGCGAAGGATGACAAAAGAAAATGCCTTATCATATGCCAAATGCCTGTTTAATTTCAACAACGGTGTAAGATTTTATATAAAGGGTGAATTTATAAAAATTTAAAGGTTAAAAATAATTAAAAATACTTTAATTCTATGATAATTTGAATTTTTGAGAGGGTAATCACTTCGTCAACCCCTTTCGGTCTATCTGCATGCTTGATGTTATAGTCCATGACACATTGGTTTAATTGTTGAAAATATAATCTTGATTTATCCCTTAACATTCATAATATCACTTTAATAAGGGAAACCAGCTCCGAGTCCGTATCTGATTCCTTTTCCAGGAACGGAAGTCATGGTTAGGGTGGGAGAAGCTTAATTGTTGGAGAAAAGTTGTTGACTTTATTGCTTCTAAATTGATGCATTTACATTGCATCCTTGGGGAGAATGGACATCAATAGGATCTCAGTTAGCTTTAAATCTGTTTTAGGAGGAAGCCATGTGGGAGTTAAGTCCTAATTTTCAAACGATCAGACTCTAGGTGAGATGCCTTTATATTAAATCTGGAACCTGTATCAAGAGCTTTGATTACTACACTGTTGTTTTCCAAAGCATTAGGTTCAAGAAAATAGTTTTAATTTTTTTCAGAACACATACCTTTATATTGAATACGTGTGCTGCAGATTTCAGGAACAGCCTTGGTGTTGGATGAAATCATCAATCATGTGCAATCTCTACAACGGCAAGTGGAAGTAAGAATTGCGCTTTTCAAGCATCTGATCTTCCCCCCCCCCTCTCCCTTCCCTCTCTTCTACAAGAGAAGGTTTAATATGAATTCAAGACACAGGACTTGGCCACTGGATATTTTTTTTAACATCATATGGGTTTTAAGATATTTTAATGTCTTTGTGTTATACAAAATTACCTTCAAATGTTCAATAAAGTCTGGGTGACCTGGGATTAATCAATAGGACATTTACCAAGAGTTTTATGTGGGTTTCAGTGATATGTAGGAGGGCCCTCGTTGTTGTATTTTTCTGTCCTGCAACCCTTGCACTGTAGATTTTTCTATTGGCTATTACTGTTAACATCCTTTGCTGGTTAAATGGAATTATTTGCATTGCCTCCCAAAAATAACATAAAAAATTGGCAAAGATCCCACTAGGTTGACATGTTTTGTTGTATCATTTTCCTATGGTTTTACTTGCAGCATCTTCCATTCCCGTGGTCTGATTCTTGCAACATTTTTTTTCTTTGGTTGCAGTTCTTATCAATGAGGCTTGCAGCAGTGAACCCAAGAACTGACTTCAACCTTGATAGTGTATTCACATCAGAAGTAAGTTTGCGCACATTTTTTCTTTGGTGATTCCTCCTATTCATGTTTCAACTTTGGTTATGATCTTGTTATTTAGAACGGTAAAGCCCCTAGTGGTATACACTTCATTGTATGGCTTCTCCACTGGATTCCAACCATTTTCTTAAAAGGCTGCTCCTCATTAATATTTAGTGGACAGTTGATCGTCTGGACCACCATGTTCCATCTACCCGTTCATTAATATATGAACGGGAACAAACAATGGCTGCTAGTCAGCTAATGAATCTGATTGCAAGAAATTATTGAAATTCATGGGTCTCAAACGACATGCAATGCTCTGCTTAGCAGAACATGTTAAAGTAAATTACCCTTTTGTAGTGAAATGACTACATTCTCCATTCATGTAAATTGGTAATCAGAGAAGATGATAAATTAACCATGTAGTAGATAATGTTGGGAATAAGTACCTAAAAATGTTCCATTTACACGGTTGTCCATCTAGTTTCTCTTCTGATGACGGGATTATTAGCTGTTGATTTTGTTACCTGAAAGTTTCTACTAACATGTCTGACCATCTTTTACGTGTAGAGTGGATCTCTAATGGACAGCAACTTCCCCGGCTTGGTTATGCCTGTGATGTGGCCTGAAGTTCGAGGCGATGGACACAGACAACAGTATCAGCACCGATGGAATTTCGATGTACTTCAGCAGCCTGTTTGGGGAAGAGAAGAAGTCCGCAATAATTACATTACACCAGAGAACTCACTTTTAACTTAGGACTCCTCTGCAAATTCAGGTAGATTGCTTTCGAAGTTTCCCTTCAAACGGTCAGGTTATATCTTTCTTCTAATGTCAAGTAAACTGAACAAGAATTCTATTGCAACTTTAGAGCAGCGACATTGCAGGCAAATCAACTGAAGATGGAGCTATGAAATCTCTGAAGAAGCTCCAAGGGTTAGATTTATGGAAAATTGCTTTAATGGTCGCTAGTATTGTATATATATTTCGAATATTATCTATTTACCTGAGTCAAATGGAAACCTTTGATTTCTCATGATTTGATTCAACATATCTTGTTGACTTGTGTTACAAAAATTCTATTACTAGCTCGGAGTCTTCGATCACAAGGTTGATTGATTCATGTATTATAATCGCAGAACAAACTATATTAAACTACTGTAAGTAAACAAGTTCAACTGAGAACCAAGAGCCCGACCTCGACCACTAAGTGATCTGATTTTCCCAACACCGGTAGAAGAAAGGAATATAAGATAGAAGCATTACAAGGTAATCATGTATATGTACAATCAAACCAGCACAAAATAAAGACTTACAAACAGTGGCGAACTATTGCCAACCAATGGACAAGGAATACAAACTTTCCTTACACTGCAACGATGTCCTCCCTATCATGGACTTTGCAACTCTATATCAATCAAGGGGACACACATTGAGACAAAGAACCCAACTTAACATTAACCTTCACTATGATTGAGCTGATGACACAAACGGGTGGAAGGAGAAACATCATATTTCATTACACAAATCTTTGCCTTCATCCTCACCTCTTTAGATTTTATCGAGCTTCTCTGCCCTGACTACAGGGTTGGCTTTAGCAATAGCATCTTGAGCAGCAGTCCTGTAGTCAAAAGGACAGTTGTGTCTGTCGGAGTATCGATGAGATGCACAGAAGATGTTTCCACACCTGCAGTTAAATCCTGTCAAACCGACACGCTTGTTACATGCAGTACACCTGTTGGGACCCTCTTTTGTTTTCATCCCACCAAAGGTCATAAGGGATGGATTGATGGACGATTCAATTTCTGACCCAAAATTTCCGGATTGTACAGCCAAAGCAGCAGCCGCCGCCATAGATGGTTCCTTACTGTTCCCACTAGAGCTGCCATTGGCAATGCTTCCAATGGATGATCCTACGAGTTGCACTTGCACCTGCTCCTGCTTCAGGATCATTGCCTTGTGACACTTGGAGCACATATTCATGGTAGCTTCACTTCCAAAGAAACCACAGTTATTGACACACAGGATGGGGCCTTCTGGAGCTTGGCGGCCCGTCTCATCACGAGAGTCCATCTTCCCTACCCTCCTGCACCAAAACCACCTTTCAGTCAATAACCCAAAATGAAGTAGAACAGAAGAAAATATGAAAAGTAAGCGGAATAACCACAAGCCATTCAAGTCCTAAAGTTGGATATCAAAAATCGCCAGATGGAAAAAAAAGTATGCCAGTTTATGGAACAAGAGGATAATAACACATATTAAGCATGTAAATGATCAATTTACTTGATAAGAAGTAGTACTTAGGACTAATTACCTCCATCATGATTCATCAATCAACCTTATACCAGACACCTCTCCTTCCTAATTGCAGTGATCTTAGATGACGCGGACTACAATAACAATCAAGGGGGAAATGTTACTCGGATTTGTGCGTGAGTATCAGATACGGGTATGTGCCGGAATCGGGAATGTTCAATTATGCAGAATTAAGCTAAGGATACTCCTCTACATCTTCCCTACTAAACATTTCTAAAAAAAATTTCATCATTTTTATGAATATGATTATTCTCAGAAGTAAGCAGATAATCAGCAGTGTCCTTTAGCTCATAATTAAAATATATAAATTGATCTTAACTGACACTAAAAAAAAATCTCAGAAAGCAAACAGCAACGGCAAATTAGTTTCCAGTTTCTCTTCAAAATTCAAAAGAAAAAGTTGAAAACTTTAAGCGAAAACCCTAAACACCCAATTGACACAAATCAAGCACAATCAAATGAAAATAAAACTCAAAGAAATTAACTTACTTTTTTTTTTGAAAAAAATAAAAAGGCAGAAAACTCCTTACCTGAAATTCTGATCAGGCCGATCTTGTCAAACAAAATCGAACCCGGCGATTCCTGTCTCGTGCAAAATAAATACAAACAAAATTCAATTTTAATATAAAAATAATCCCTTCCTTTACAACTAATTTCAACCAAACAAAATTAAAAGGAAGAAAAAGAAGATGAAAAAGCTAAGAGTTTATATGATCAAAAGAGACAAAAAAAAAGCTTTACCAAAAAAATAGGAAAAAAATCCCTTACTTTAATCGAAGAGATATGTAACGAAATCGATAGGATACAGAAATTTTGGGTCGATTTATAAATATTTATTCACTGGGATTTTAAAATTTTCCTCTTTCCTTCGTCCTGTTATTTGAAAGATGACAACTTTTTGGCTGCCATGGGACGCTTTTCACTGACAGACTGCCCTCCATGAAGCCTGTGTTTACAGTTATGCCCTTCCTTATATTTAACGTGCCTCTCATTTATTGGTTCAAGAACCGGTTTTGGATAATTACCCGGCTTTCTATTCTGGGTCTATCTAAGCCCAAATATTTCTCTATTAGAATTCGATTTAATGTCAAAATTTCTTGAATAGTTATTTTGGGTTTTTGATAAATTTTAGTTTTAATTTTGTTTGAAGGAAAAAGGAAATGAAAATTCCAGGGGAGGAAGGAGTTACCAAAGATGAGTAACTTGATCCCTTCCTCAAATATATTTACTCTAATTATTTTGATTTTTTAATTTTTTTAATTATTAATATTTTAATTTTTGATTAAAATAATTCTTATTAAATATAAATCGTTATTTAACTAAAAATCAATATGTTATTAATGTAATATTTTAATATGTGTTAAATTACAGACATAATACGTCACATAAAATGATGATGTGATATATATCATATCACACAAGATAATAATGTGACATATATCTCGTCATCTAAAATTATACATGATAAATTTAAACCGTATTCAATTATCCAAGTCGATTCTTTATATAGACATGAATATTAGTTGGACCGAAAGCAAGCAGAACCAAAATCATAAATAACCCTATTCAAACTGGAACAGAAACCAACCCGAATATTAGTTGGACCGAAAGCAAGCAGAACCAAAATCAACCTAAATCGAAAAGTAACTCGAATTGAAAAACTCGAACTGAAAGTAAACCGATTTTAATTTATCCATATTCGAACCAAATCAAATTTCGACCCTATTTTAACTCGATAATTGAGTCTGAGTGTGTGTAATTTATTATTATTATTATTATTATTATTTATTTTTAGAATTGATAAATATTAAAATGATGTATGTTTTATACTCATTTTATATTATAATACTAGTTAACCACCACTTTTAATAATAGTTTAATGGTTCCATATAATATTTTATCAATTAAAAGATCACCTCTATATCTGATGCGATAAATTTTAACTCCGGATTTAGATTGTGATAATATATATTAACATAAAATTTTTGATTTTAAAGATTTATTGATTCGATTGACTTAAATTAAAACTTCTAACTCTAAATTTAGGATGTGACAATATATATTTAAATAAAATTATTGAATTATAAGTAATAAAGAGCAACACCGAAAGTTACAATGACAAAGAGAGACAACAATTGATATGAAAATCTAAAGGTTGACCATAAAATTTTAAAAGTTGACCCGAAAATCTAAAGGTTGACCCGAAAATCTACAGGTTGGCTCGAATTAAAACTTATCAGAATTGACTTGAAAATTTAATGGTCGACCCGAACCGATCATATATTGATCCGATATTAGTCCAATCTAAAAATCAATCGATTTGATTTTGTCCCGATCCGATACTCAACCCGAACTGAATTTTCATTGATCCAAACTAAACCAAAATCAAGTTCAATCCGACCCGGACCAAACCTTAACCGAATGCAGTCTAGAACCAAATCTAAAGTGACTATGTGACATATGCCACATTAGCAATTAAGCACAGAGAAAAATATCATGTCAAGAACATATGTTAATAGTTAGCCAACTAATAGTTTTCATCCAACACAAGTCATTTTGATAAAAAAAAACAATTGAAACGTTAGTAGCTAAAATATTTTAATAAAATATGAACTAAAGTGAATATTTGAGTAAATTGTTTTGACATTATATCTTTGAATTTTATCACAAATCCAAATATTTAATTTTATCTAAAACTTTGAATTTATTTTTATTCATAAATTATTTAAGTACTATTTTCCACTCTCCCATTTTATGTACGTGAGATATGGGATAAGGTAGTTTTGGGTGGTTTTTGATGGGAACCAAACCTATAATTACTCATCTAGTCAAGGTCCCTAAGCACAAAACCAAAAACATTCAAAGTATTTCCACATATAGAGAGTTGAGAATTTATTCCATGTAGTGAGGTTTTCAAGTTCTTGAATATCCTTGGTAGTTCTAGCTTTCGTGCAGTCAAGTTCGAAGTGCTCGACGGTGTTTCGTAGTGGTTCACGGTGGTCTACGGTGGTTCGATGTATTTAACGATGGTGCATTCAAATCTAGAATTTCGACACAAGGTATAGGCAATGACTGAAGGTATTTATAACGATCATTTTCGCTAGTTTATGCTCAATGTATGAAAACATGTCTAACATTTGGTATCAAGAGCATGGTAAAATCTCTGTCTTGCCTGATTTTTGAAAGTTTGTATGTTTCTCGAATTTTTGAGGCCTTGATTTTTAAAGTTTGAGAAAATTTGTGTTGCAAACTTGTTGCTAAAATTGTTGGATTTTGTAAATGATAATTTCTAATATTAATTATGTTTTTATGATAATCATATATAAAAAAAATTAGAAATATTGTATGATTTTATGTGCCTAAACTATGATTGAATGTAAGTGAATTATATGGTTATTAATGACATACATTTTAGGTTCATGAAACTTTAGTATTATTGCATAAAATATTTAGTAATAAAACTTTATATTATATGTCTAGAGATATAATTTTTTTTATTTAATTAAAGAATTAGCCACAACAACTTTGATTAAAAAAATTATTTATTATGGTAATGCATCAAGACTATATATATATATGATGTTGCATGATGAATTAGCAATAATTTTGAATAAAGTTTAGGGTTAATTTCTGGCTAAGTGATTTACATAATTTTATTTTGTTAAAGACTAGCCACATCATCTTTAGTAAAATAAAATTAATAAAATTAAAAATCACATACATAAAGCTAAAGTATTAAATCCTATTAAGTAATTTACTAAGGTAAAATTATTCGATGCCTTACATAACTACCCACATGAATTATGAAAGTGAATTTAATAATTTTATCAAAGAAGATAGAAAATAATTCTATCATAAGATGGATCTAATTGAATTAAAAATTTAGTCCACATACACTTTTTATGTCGCTAGATTCATTGTTTACATAATTTGCATTGGTAAATTATGATTTATGTTTGCCTCAAATTTTGATTAAGCATGTATGTTAATTATATCTTGCAGTTTTAGAACTTGTGAATATGTCTTATAATAGATGTAGATATCCCTGAATTAACCATTAATAACTTTATAATATAGAAGGAGAGCATTCTTCTTCAATTAGGGTGTTTGGATATTAACCATTTATGGAAATATGAGCCACATATCACAAAAACCAACACTCAAGTTAATCTTTCTCTATATGAAAAGTGGGAGCGATCTAATTACCTCAACATTATGTTCATTAAGAGCAAGATTCCTGCTGATGTTTGTGGCTCAATTGAGCATTATGAGAATGTAAAAGAGCTATTAATGGCCATTGAAAAGAAGTTCAAAACTTCTCAAAATTCCTTGTCTAGCGCCCTAATTATGAGGTTCACGTCCATGAGGCTCACTACTGTGAAAGACTTACGTGATCACATCAATAAGATACGAGATTTAGCATATCGACATAGAGCATTGGAGGTTGAAATGTCTGATTCTTTTCTGGTGCACTTTATACAGAACACTCTTAAACCTCAGTATGGGTCATTTAAAATCTCCTATAACACACATAAGGATAAATAGTCTATTGATGAACTTTTGATCATGTGTGATCAGGAGGAGGCTAGACTCATAATAGAAATAGGAGAGAGTGCATTGACAGTTACTCAGGGAAAGAGATCAGTCCAAGCCAAGTCAAAGGGGAAGGTTAAAATCCAAACCCAAGCTAAAATTAAGAAAGATTCCAAGTGTTTTTTTTTTGTAAAAAGAAGGGACACTAAATAAAGACTGTGTCAAGTTCATGAGCTAGCTTGAGAAGAAAGGTAAATCAATCTCACTCATTTGTTTTGAGTCAAATATGATTGATGTTAATTATAACACATGGTGGATTGATTCTGGTTCTATAATCTATGTCTCAAATTTCTTACATGGATTAAGAAACCTGAAGAAACTAGTGGGAGCTAAGTGATACATCTATTTAAGAAATAAGATTCAACCGTATTGGAATCTATTGGGACATGCGAATTATTGCTTAGTAGTGGTTTTGTTTTAATTTTAGAAAATACTTTTTATATTCCAAGTTTTTCTAGAAATTTAATTTATATTTCAAGGCATGCACCATTGGACTATTGTTTTAATTTTTCAAACAATGAATTCAGTTTATTTTATAAATCAGAATTTGTTGGAAATAAAATTTTATCCGATGGTCTTTACTCTTTAAATTTATAAAATAATGCCACTTATAATGGTATGCATATTCAAATTGGTTTTAAACGTTGTGTTATAAATGAAGATTCATCTATTTTATGGCACCGCAAATTAGGACACATATCCATTGAAAGGATAAAGAGATTAGTAAATGATGGGGTACTTAATACCTTAGATTTTTTTGATTTTGACACTTATATAGAATGCATTAAGGGTAAACAGTATGACAAGTCAAAGAAAGTTGCCAAGAGAAGTTCGACCATATTGGAAATCATCTATTATGATATCTGTTACCCAGATATGGATGTACAAGGTCATAAATACTTTATCACTTTTATCGATGATTACTCACGATACATGTATCTCTACATGCTTCATCATAAGAGCGAATCATTAGAAGCCTTTAAAAATTTCAAGGCTGAAGTAGAGAAACAATGTGATAAGCAAATTAAGAACACGAGAACTGATAGAGGTGGTGAATATTATGGTAGATATACCTAAAATTAACAAGCACTTGGTTCATTTGTGAAGTTTCTTCAAGATGATGGTATAGTTGCCCAATACACCATTCCAGGATCACATGATCAAAATAGTGTTGTAGAAAGAATAAATCAAACTTTAATGGATACAATGCAAAGTATGCTTAGTAACTCTAAGCTACCTAAGTATTTATGCGTTGAAGATCTCAAAACGATTGTGTATATATTAAACCGAGTTCCAACCAATGTTGTCCCAAAGACACATTTTGAGTT